AGTTGTTTAAATACGGTGTAGAATTAAAATTTAATTATTTAAATAAATATAAGTATAATTAAAATAAAAGAATAATAGTAAATTTACCTCAATTAATGCATTAAGTTCCTTATCTAAAGTTGTTTGAAGTTGATAATATCCAGATGATCTATTAATAGATGATAAAAAAACCTCTTTACTGCTTTTTCTAAGAGCCCCCAAGTTCAGATCAAACAACTTAAAATATCAGTATTGCAAGAAAGATTTAGCTGGGCCATTGTTTTGCTCAAAAAAGCTGATTTAATGTCACCAATTACTAAAAAATGCTTTAATATAAAAGGAAATATCATTAAGAGACATAAGATGTTTGACATCATAAATGAATGTCTATGGGAAATAAAATTTGATAAACATGTCTATCTTGCTGGAACTTCAAAATGTTTCCAATATTTAATAATATTGTTTTCACCCTGATCTGTTAGAACAAGGCAAATACATTCAAGAAGCTATCTTACTTTTTCTGCAACAGCGTGATATGCATCTTGTGGAATATATTGGTGACGGTCATGAAGGATAGAATCAAGCGGACCTGACAATAACCTTAATCCATATTGTGAAGCAAGTTGCAACCGTGCTGAATTTGTTTGTTGCTCATTTATATTTTTGAATTCTTGGTCAGTTATCTGATGATATCGGCCATTGGAATATATATCAAATATAATGTTCGTTACTTCATTCTTAGAGGCCTTACAACTGCGGCATCCGAAATTGGCATTGTGGCGTAACATACCCGCAACATCATTCTCCTGTGGTAAATCCGCCGTTACCATAGCAAGACCACCCGAAATCCAGTAATCAACCCTGTTTACATTCATTACGAAACCTTGTTCAAGTTGTTGAATCTCTTTAATAAAAACTTTAATAAAATCTTTAAAATTTCCACCAAACGGCACTAGTCTGATTATAAAGTGATTTTGTAATTGATTCCTTAATCATCGTGATAAATTGCCGATTTGTAAGTAAACTCCTCTTAAAGAATGATAAGTGTTTTGAAAAGTTCCAAAGTCATCATAGTATAAATCTAAATAAAACTTAAGAATCGGCATATTTAAATTTGTTGGTTGTTTAATAAATATGCACTCAGATGGATGTTGATGACGTAATTCTATTGAGCGAAACTTCCACCGTCCATTATATTTATATAATATTTTGTTGACAAAAAAATTAACTTTAGGTAAAACAGGCTAATCTTGAAGCCAAACATTAATACGACAGATTAAATTTGAAGGATCAATAATGAAAGGCTCTGATTCATCAACTAAGTACAATTCTTGAGAATGTTGTTTTGAACATAGATGACGTGGAATTTGTTCATAAGAAAATAATCATTGAATTCGTGTTGTTATTTTTTTATCCACAATAACAAAGGATCTGATCCGACCAACTTCAATAATTTCTGAAGCTGAATGATATTTGACAAAGTCACCACAATTAAATAAACCTAAAATAAAATTATTTAATAAGTTGTATAAATTATAATCATATTAATAAGACAGATCTATGATACCTTGCATTGTAATTAAGTTGGACAGACCAAAAAGAGGAGATTCGGCCTAGAGATCCCCTTCCCATAATTCTTCACATGATTTCAAAAAGATATCTGGCCCAAAATATAAATGGGAACTAAAAGATAGGTTTTTTAATATACGTTGAATATCTCAATTAAGGAAAAATAATAAACTCGGATAGAGTCTTTGGACGTCGATAGTGTATTTTTAGTATTTATCGGAACCACATGACTTTGAATTTTCATTAGTGGCAACCGTTCGCGTTGTTTCTTAAGACATTGAAGGTTAGTTGTTAAATGCTTTATTTCAAATCGAGGATGATACAAAATTTGTATTAGATCCTGATATGCCGCAGTCACTAAAGAAAAAATGATAAATTATTCAGTTTTATATACATAATGATAAATAATAAATCAATTAAGTTACTTACAAATCATATATTTAGTAGTCTATATAAATATAGCCATATTTGTGAAATTTTCAAAGAGTCCATATGGAGACTCATGATCCCAATTTATGTCAAATTTTGTTCTGTCAAATGTCTTTGATGCGTTATCTATATTAATTGATATTGGTTCATGTTTATCATCTAACTATTCACTGTTTTTATTCTCGCTAAATATATTTTTATTAAATATACTTTCTCGATCGTCATAACTCCAGTTATCTTCAAATTCCTGATTAGATTCTGTACTGTCATACACGCTACTATTACTCATATATTGATCGTTATAGTCTTGACTGATATTTCCATGATAAGATTGTTGTCCATCATTAATTTGATTACTATTATATTTAAATTGTTGGTTATCAATGCTTGAGCTGTTACTAAACTCATTACTAAATAATGCATAACTAGTTTGGAGATTTATATTATTATGTTTCAGGTCATTTGAGAATGTATAATCACTTAAGTAAGTTTTTTTTGAACGTATATTTAAATCGTAAGATTGTTGTGGAATACTTTTTTTGAATCGGTTTTTACGAGAAAACATATTAAGTGAAATTTTGAAACAGTAAATAGAAACAAAGGTATATTTAGAAACTAGACAATTGAAGGAAATGATTTTGATACAATAACACTTTAAATATTTCTTTGATTTGAGTTGTGAAGAAGAAACGAGAAAAGGGTCAAGAAGGTTTAATTTTTTTTCGCATTTGCTTTTATACTGATCTTAATTATTCAATAATTACGTAACAATAATAATTCAAGTGGAGTTTAAAAAAAATAATGTAAGTATCGCATATGCAAGATGAGTAATTTACGTATTATTTTTATATTAAAAGGTTAAGGGAACTTTACAAAATTATTGTGCAGCGTAAACTAAAAATAAAAAAACAATTTTATTTACTGTCATACTACAATTTCTCATACTATTCTTTTTAACCACATTATTATAATTTCATTTTCAATAAATAAGCTAATTATTTCGCAACGCATAATCCAAATAATGGATTATCATTATGTACAGTTATTTAGTGCAAAAGCGATCTTAGCAATTTATTATTTTTGAATATATACTTATAGAGTATCCGTCCCATCGAAATTAGAGTGCTGTATTATTGTGTTAAAGTATACTGTAAAGTATCGAAATTACACTAAATCGTATCAAAAATGTTTAATATTGGGCAAGTAAAAATGCCAGACCTTTTTGATGCATGCATCAATTAGGTATCATGTGACTTATAACATTTCATATAATTTCAATCTTTAAATTCTAATTAGGGCAGTTGGCATTGGTAAAAATATATAAAACTAGCCTACCTTGCTATATTTTAATATCTGCAAGATTAATATTTTTACAATTATAAACTTTTTTTCAAACTAAATTTAAACAAATATTAAACACTTAATAAATTTCTAAATTTTAATTTTTAAAATATTTATATTAAAATTTTAATTTTTACTTATTTTAAAACTCTTTTATATTCAATCTACATATAATATATTATCAAATTTATACTGATGTAATTATAACATTATAATAAATATGAGAATTAAATATATAAATATAGTACATTAATATATAAATTTTTTTACAATATAATAATAAAATATTATTATTTATTATAATTACAGCATTGTTAAATCACATCAATTGTGTTTAACATCACACAGTTTCCATATCTCAAAAGCTGTCTAAATAACCGAGGCCATCTGTATTAAATAAATATATCTGGCATCCCAAAAAAAATCTTATTCTAACTTTATTTTTAGGTTCAATTTTTATTAATAACTTCTAATTTTATCTTAATTTTTAACTCTAATTGGCAAGAAAGTTATAATAAAAAATATATGATGTTTAACATCATGATACAATTTATAATAATTGTATAATTATAGAAAACAGGTACTTCCACACTCAATTTTGATATTTTCACACTCTTGCAAATTATAAATTATTACTCTGACTCAAAATCGAATACATAGTAACTCTCGATATAACAAACCATCGATATAACGGATGTTGTTTAATAAACAGTGGCTCTCGATATAACAGACCATCGATATAACGAATTACATAATATGGAGAATTTTAATGAAATCAAATTATACAATAGCTCTCAATATAGCAATGACCATGATTTCAGTTCTTTGCTTTGTTATATCAAAAGCTCCATAATATTAAAATCTCATGATATATCAAATTTTATAGTAAATCATAATTTGGTTTCATTATAATTCTCAATATCCATTATATCGATGGTCTATTATATCAAGAGCACTGTGTATTATTTACTATAAAATCTGATATATCATGGGATTTTGATATTATGAAGCTTTTGATATAATGAAGCAAAGAACTGAAATCATGGCCCCTGTTATATCGAGAGTAATGTAATATGATACTCCATTTTTGGAATCTCTAAAGCCAGTATTTTTTAAGTTGATTACTAATAAATTTGTAAAGTAAAAGTCATGTGAGACATATAAAATACTACCTCGCTTTATACGAACTCCCATTTTGCTATACTTTATATAATATGCATGTGATCGAATGGTGTGAAAATACCAAAATCGGGTGTAGAAATATAATTTATATTGCCAAATTAACTATTGTTGCCTTACCAAAATAGCAAGAGCTTGCCAACTACCCTATTTTTGCTATTTTCGAATCTGGAAGTTTCATCAAGCTTTGAATTTGAGGCACCAAGTTTCAAAGTTTTACAGAATAATATTTTATATGTTAAATAAGGCATATAGGAAGCATTATTAATACAAAAATAAATATAAACACAGCCAAGTACTATTTCTTTTTAATTAAATATTACTTTAAATTTAGGATACTTCAAGAAAACCACAAGTACTGTAGAGTGTATATAGGGTATATTACAAAAATGATCCAGCATATACTTAGTTAGGATGAATACTAGCACTCTATATGAAACAGCAGATTATTTTTATATAATGAATAAATTGTGCCTATATTTGAAACGATTATACAAACTATGCCATCGTACAGCGCCTTTTGAAATAATCCACATTATTACTGCTTTAATTAAGTTATATACATAGCAATATCGCAATAAATTAAACGCAATTCTATTTAAAATCTCGTGATTAATGAAAATATAAGCAAGAATAAAAAAAATAAGAAAATAAAAAAGCCCGCTGGATAAATTCTGCAAATATATCTTCTTTTACTTTGTTGATAAATAAAGCATTGATTGCAAATATTTTTTTAGCCATCTAATAAGTTTTATTTTAATCTAAAAAATTTTTTATATAATATTATGATTATTAAGTAATTATAGATTAGTATTCAATTGTTTTACAAACCTTTCTTGCTCTTCTTCAAATTCCAATTGACTAGCATATTGAAAATGACTTGCTGCTAGAAATGCAATATTAATTGTAATATTATCCAATTTTTTAATACGATTTAAAACTATAGAAGTATAATTAGGGTCTTCTCCTTTAGATTCCACTATTAAATATTCTACGTGTATCTTGAGACTTCTAGCAACAAAAGCTTCTAATGCTTTTACTCCTGATTGTTGGTTTTTAAAAATGTCATAATCGAGTACATCGATGTATTTTTTAAGAGGTTTTTCCCACACAGCGCCGGTGATAAATTCTTCAATATCACAGTTAGAAGGATTGCTATAATTTCGGTACAATAATAATTTAGCTATATTTATTATAGAATGTCCAATAATAACAATAATAACCATTAAAATTAAACTTGCGTTTTTTTCCGAATTAATTGACTTGCCAATTTGGCAACATCATCATTATAAGTGCTGTAGAAATTTTCAAATGCTTGTCTCAATTTGGTTGATATTCCATTCCAATCAGAATGTGTTTTAACTATATTTGGAATAACGCTCTTAATCAATAATGAACGACTTCTTTTTGTTGGCATTCTAGTCCTTAGAAACAAAATTTGCGATTGTTCAGACAGAATTTTTGCCAAATTTGGTGTATTATTAGAAAAAATCTAGTATTTAAATGTTGAAATTGTTATGCTATATATTTAAAATTTAGCCATTAAAGTAGATAATTACAGTTATATACAGTTGTAGATTTCAAAAATAGAAATTATAATAATGACTACAAATCATTTTCACTGTTGAAATTCTATTTTTGAATTCTACCACCAATTATAATTACAGTATAACGAACCTGATTTGACGTAATAAGCAGCAATGAACAAATAGAGGTTAACACCTATAACACTATATCTTTATATGATTCTAACACTGAATAAGATGTGATTCATCTTGAAAAAAAAGTCCGCTCTTCGCAGATGAAGCAGTCAAGCTTGACTGAATGGCTGAATATGGTCCAACATATTTTTCATTTTGTATATTTAACGGGGTAGTTGAATAAGATGATCCTTTAAATGGGCTTGAATTAAAATGTTGACCAAACAAAGAAAAAATTTCATCTTCAGAAGAAGAAGATTCATCTTCAGAAGAAGAAGATTCATCTTCAGTTAGATTTCGATGATTTTGATTAAAGTATCGCCTATCAGATCGCTTAGGAAAAGAACCAATTCCAGGTTCAATTGATTGAGCACTTGAATTGGTAGACCTTCTATTCATTTGTAGTGGTGCTTTATATTGATATAAACTTGCATCAAAAGATGAATGAGTTGAGGATCCGATACTGTTACGATAGCTTGGTGAGTTATGTATTTGAGTGTTTCTTTGATTTTGCTGACTCTTATTGTAAGCTTTCTGACTCTGTAGTTCTACTGAAGGTGGGCGATTTTGCTGATAATGCTCAATATTGGCATTAGATTGTGAGTTATCTAATGATACGTTCTCTAAATCCAAATTGGCATTTTCTTTTTAAAATAAAAAAAAATAAAATTAAATAAAAATTAAAATTTGACTACATAACATAGTATATATACAAACAATTAAAAATTTACCTTTACCCTTTGCTCGATTTGACTTTCGTGGTCTTTTCGATGTTTGTGACTGTTCGGAAACATCAGACTCTATTTGGGTATTTTTCGTATTTCGTGTTTTTCTTGTTTTCCTTGTTACTGGTTTGTATATGAAACAATATGATGTTGCAATTTTTTAAATAAAAATTTCTATTCAGAATTAGTTAGGCAAACTGCCAACTTTGCAAATACTCACGAGCTGCCAATTTTGGTGGCATTTTGATTTGATATTTCTAGAGAAAGATAAAAAAAAAAAAAAAAAGTAAAATTAATTTATATACTGATACCAATAACTTTTACTTAATTAAACGTAATCAGAATTATGTATATCAATTATGATATCAATCATAAATATATCAACTTTTATCACATTATTCTTTATTTAATATAAATTAATAATTAAATGTGATTGTTTATAACATTTAACAAATTTTTTTTATTAATAAAATTTATTTTTTAAGGGTAAAAATTTAATGCGAACTTTTTTATATATATACAAGACGTGACTAGTCACTTCAGCAATAGCAAGATTTGGTTTATTATGGTTATCAAAGTATATATACAAAGCTTTCAAATAATATTTAAAAAAATCACCTTTCGGTTCATATTAGTATTATACCGGCTTTCATTAATTCAGGCTGAATTCAGGTTGCATTTATTTTTCATTTTATTTTTTGCATTCTATAAGCCTAATTTAATGAATTTTAACGTCTTTGCAACAAGTTTAAGCAGCTTAAAGTTATTTTTTATTTTACATTAAGGGAGGGATAATTTAAACAAACATGTATGATTTTCACCAAATTATTTGCTATTATAATCGTAAGATATTGTGTAATTGATATTTAAAGGTAGGGTGAATGTAGATCATTTTCTATATAAGGATATTGACTAAAAAAATTTTACCCAAAAATTGAACAT